CTCCGCAGCCGGATGGAGCAGACAGGGGCTGGGGAAACACCTGGCTCCCCACTCTCGCCCCACCAGCATCGGGCATCGCCACCAAACTGTCCCCCCTTCCCCAGGGCAGGGACACCCCAAAACCCTCCCAGTGGAGGGAGCAGGGCCGGGGCAGCCCAGCTGCCGAGCACCAGCGTTTCGCAGGGAAACAGCTCCGGCGGGGGGACGGGTGCCAGGGCGGGGGGACAGCCCGCAGCCGAGCCAACAAGGGGGGGTCCTTGTCCTCGGCGGAGGAAAAGGCACCCCAGCATGCCACGTCGGGGCTCTAGCAGCTGCTGGGGCCCAGCCCCAAGGGGCCCCAGGAGCCGCTCGGCCAAAGCCACGCATCCCCTTCAGCTTAACTCACTTGCGGAGTTAATTTAAACACACTCAATTAAGGCAACTCGAGCTGCCGGGGGCTCCTCTTGCCCACCGGGAGCCGGTGGCAGGGAGAGGCACCGGAGCACCTCGCTGCGAGCCAGCCCCCCATGCGGAAAGGGGGTTTTCATCCTTTTAGTCTACTCAGAAGCTGCAGGTGGGAAGCGAGGCAGGGACCACCGGGGCCCGGGGGTCCTGGGCTCCCCAGGGGGGCACAGGGTGGTCCCCGCAGTGCCCAAGTAGCACCTCGGCCCCCGAGGGGGGACACAGCCCCCAGCGCCGGGTCTGCACCGGCCCTTTGGAGCAGCTGGAAGGTGGCTCCAGCCTCTTGGCTGCCGTGGAGTAGCTGCAATCAGAAACCGGAGGGATTTGCCCAAAGCTGAGGCCGAGCCCAGGCTGTCGGGCTCTGAAGACTGGGAAGGGTTTAGCTGAGCCCGGCTCAGCTCCACGCCCCCGGGAGAGGAACATGCTGAGCACAGGGGTCTGCACTGTCTCCTGGCTGCAGGAACGGCACAAGGGAGAGCGCGGAGCAGAAAGATGGGGTGGCCGAGACGCCCAGCACCGGGGCACGCTGCCAATCCAACCACCAAAGTACCGGCAGCCACCGTTTCTTGCCCCATTTCACCTTTAAGAACAGTCTGACCAGGCAGGTTGATCATGCCAGGCAAGAACTTGTGGAACCCACTCAGTGCGTTGAGGGCTCCTACCCAAAATAACATCCTTTAAAAAAACATAAAAATAATTGAGTACATTTTCCCTGTATCCAGCTCAGTATCTTCCGAGCAAAGTATTCCAATTAAAAGTAGCTTTACTCGATGAACCAAGCATCTAACACTGTTATTTTAGGAAAAGGACAGCCCTGGGCTACATCACGATCAGATGCAGCAGCTCCAAGTCATCTCACGCAACCACACATTTTTTTTTCCACAAATCATTGGTTTATTAGAAAGGTTTTTTTCCCCTCATTTTACAGCATATATATATATTTATATATATATCTTATGTGACAAAGTTAAATACAGTCTGTTTATGCTTGTTAAGTAATGATAGGTTAATTATTTTTAGCACTATTCTGGAAGTCAAAAAACCCCTGACTGCAGCGTGAAGGGTGCCAGAACACGCATGTTGAATCTAGAAGCTAATGAAGTTCAGCATTGAGACATTAATACTGTATTCTGTTAATTATTTACAGAGAAATTGAGTCCCTTTTTTTGACTGTTGTATTTCAGTCCGACCTGCTCAAACGCAACGTTTCTCGTTTAAAGAGTGAGGAAGCTCAAGTTTTCGGTTCTTTGAAATCTCTGTGTCCCCCCCACCCCGCCCCAGCTCTCGGTGCTGCGCTTCGGGAGAGGACGGGGAAAGGGGACGCCGGGCAGCCGGCACGTGCTCCGCAGCCCCTTGCTGCCTGCTCCTGCCTGGTTTGGCAGGTAGGAGCAGGTCTGCCTGCCTGCTCTGAAATCAGGCCCTACAAAGCGCCGTAAGGTGCCCCCGGAACCGCTCTAACACGAGGAGGACCTGAACCTGAAATAAACCCAGGTCAGCGGGGACAGCAGCAACTCGTGCCAGTGCCACGGGAAGAGCTCGTGGATGGAGAAGCCTCCCACAGGTAGCGTTCTCTGCAGCCAGTGGATGATGCCAGAAAGAACAGAGAAATCCCTTATGGAACATCACAGGCAGGCACAGCCTCAAGGGATTAGTCCTAAACCACCTCTCCCTGCGTGTAAGATGGCACACGGTTACGGTTAAAAGGCTCTTCCTTCACCACAAGACTGTACTGAACTGCACAGCTGGGCTGGCACCGGCAAATCACCGGTTCAAACCCAGGGGGAAAAAAAGAAAAAGAAAAAAAAAGAAAGGGATATTTTATACTCTGGGAGACAACCCAAATTCCTGACGCTCCTGAGACTGCCTCCAGTGTCGATTCCTATAAGCAGCTGCTTAAGCAAAGACGAGGAGCACGCAGCGTGCCCGGGCTGCTTCCCTCCGCAAAGCCGGCAGCCACCGCCGCCTTCCAATGCGATGCCGTTCATTAGCTGTTAGAGTCACCGGTGTCGTCCACGCACCTCACCTAGTCCAAGTCTCACTTTTTTTTTTTTCTTCTGCAAAATGCTAAATGAAGATTTTTTTTTTTTACATTTTATAGTACATAAAAACTTCAAAAATACATGAGCTTGATAAAATATACATGCTTAGTCATTTTGCATCTAGCTGAAACTATAAAGTTGAACCTTTACAAGTGTCTTATTTCACCTACAGCAAACATATTTACACAAAAGCCACCAGAACAAGTACCACTAAAAGAACTGGCTGTAAAAAATATTATTGCAGTATACTACAAATTTAACCTTTTTATATGAGCTACAAAAAGCAGCATCTTTGTTTACAGAGTTCAGTGCAATTCTTTACATTAAAAAAAAAAATCCTATAAATTAATAAGGAAACCATCAGTATTACAGAGGAAAGAATACACTTTACATACCCCGGCCACTCTCCCCAGTCCTCTGTATTGCTTCAATTCCTAAAGGGATTTTCCTTCTCTCTCTCATCCGAGTGCCTCTTTCCCAACACCGCAAAAGACGGAAGTCAGAGTGATATTCCCCCCCACCCCAGGAGAAGAGTGGTCAAAGCCCAGATTGAAATCACCGACCAAACCGAGAACCTCTCTCCAGTCCAGGATATCCAGAAGGCGTCAAGGTGCAGTCCTCGCCCAGGAGAATGCTAATGCAGGATGGAGAAGGGTCGGAGCTCTGAGCAGACGCGCAGCTCCTCTCTTGGGCTTTAAAATAAGATCTTACTTCCACCTTTGCTGCTCACACCGAGAAAAGAAACCCCAAGTGTGCAGCAATAGGGTGCCAAGAAATCTCCTGTAATGCCTGAAAACTGGTACTGGCCCAGCCAAAACAAGAGTGGCACTGCCCTTCCATCAGTCTCCTCGCCAGGATCCACAGCTGTCAGTTACTGAATGTTTTGTCACTGATTACAAGCTGGATTCAATCATGCTGACTATTTTAATTAGATGACCTCATTAAAAGGATTTTTAGAGACCTATTAGTGTGTATGAAATCTCATTTATCATATACAAGGTGGCAGAAGGAAGATGACCAAGTGTAAGAATCCAGGGGGAAAAAAAGCCTAAGTGTCTCGCTGGTCTACACGTGAAATGATTCTTCTAGGATACAGTGCTGCTACGTGCACGGAGGTGTCGGGGACGTGAGACAGTCCCTGGTAGCGGATATACACAACGCTTACGAACTGACCCGCCGCCTGCTGCTACCCAGCCCTCGAGCCTTTGGCTTCTTTGGCTGCTAAAGAGTGAAAGGAAATTCTCAGGCCTCACCTGCCAGCTGGATCAACTTCAACCCCTTCCCAAAATGCAAAATATTCTCTTTCCTCCAAGGTTACTTCATTTTGTCCTTCATGTGCCGTGACTGGGTGGATGCTGCAAGTCCTGTCCTGAGAAAATGGGGTGCAGCAAAGGGTGAAGATGTAACGCTGTAGCGGCCGCAGCGGCAGCGGGTCTCGGGGCAAGAAGGGTTGGATAAAGAGCGTGAGGAACCGGATGAAAAGTAAAGGGGCCCGGGTGGATAGCTGACGCCGGAATGATGTGGATGGGGTGGCTGGCTAGAAACGTAGCAGGGTGCCCTGGAATAATCGAGTGGGTCAAGTGGGATAATGAAATAGGTGTCAAGTGGGGCTGGGGTATATGATGAACCTGAGCGAGAGGCTGAGGATGGGGGTGAGGGTGAATCCCGATGGCGGCGGCAGCCGCGGCGGCGTGGTGCTGCAGGATGGCATGCTGCACGGTGGTGATGGAGGTTGCGGATGCCGCCGCCGGCTGCTGAATGTGGATGGGCTGCAGGGCAGGCGCTGCCGGCGCCAGGGCCGCCGAGGCAGGAAAGGCCTTGACCTGCTTTGCCAGAAGTTGCTGCTGAATGTGCTGCTGAGCAGCTTGCTGCAGCTTACTGTATTTCTCCATTTCTTCGGGTGTAAAAGTGATCGGTTGGCTCTCGAGTGGTGCTAGAGAGGAATCTTCTCCTCCTTCCCGATCCCCTTCGATGCTCGGCTCCCCGCTCTGAGGCACGTAGCCAGGAAAGTGCTCGACATCTGGAACTAAGGGCATCATACTGGTTTCCACTGGGACCGGCTGGTTGCCCCCGTCCATAGGTTCTAGCCCATCGCCATCGCTCGGATCTGAGAGGAAGTTGTGCGGCATGACCAGATCTCCAGAACCAAAGCACTCAGGGAGTGCCGGTGCTTCCAGGGGAATGGACGGCATTTCCACGGCAGGTTCATCACGTTTCTGCTCATCCAGAGGTTTGTCCTGAATTACCATCACCACTTCTTCCAGGAGAGACTGGCCGGCCAACTGAGCCTCCTCGATGCCTTGGGAAACATCCTCAGAATCCGACAGCTCTTGCTCCTCGCCCCTCTCCAAGCCAGACTCTTCGTATCTTTTGGCGTTTGGTTTTCGAACGGTTGGCAGTTTCCCAATTAAGGGGAGAACGGGTTTGTTGCCTAAGGAAGGAGGAAGTTTCGGGCCAAAGTAGCCCTGGGGAGGATCTTTGAGCTTTATGCCCACTTTGCTTGCCCCTGCCAGCATCTCGTCAGTGACGCAGGGCTTCTTCTCGACCTTCCTGGATTGAACCTTTTCCAGGAGAAGTTTTGCAGTGACGGAGTTTCTCTCCTCTGGACTGCAGTCACCTTCCGAGGCCCTCCCCGTGCCAGAGCTGCTGCTGTTTTGGGAGAGTGAGCCAGATCCTTTCAGATCCTCTCCTTTGCAGTCCTCTTTCTTCAGCGAGGATCCTTCACTTCGGCCTGTCCGGAAATAGTGAGGAGACTGCGAGCGATAGATTTTGGACCTGATGAAGTCTCTTCTCCCGGACCTCCTCTCTTCGGGGCTCTCGTGGCCTCGAGAGCCCTTTCGCGAGAGAGACCTCTGCGAGTGGCTTCTCGTACTGCGGCTGCGATCCCTGCTATAGCTGCGGCTCCGTTTCCAGCTGCGACCTGTTACACTTCGGCTTCTCCTCTTGCTTCGACTGCGGCTGCAGCTGCTACTGCGTGTTCTGCCCCGGCTCCTTGTTCTTGACCTACCTCGAGGGTGGGTTCGGCTCCTGCTTCGACTCCTCGACCTGCTCCTACTCGAGCTGTAGTCATCTTCAGAAGAGGAGTACTTGCGCCGCTTTGATCTGTGATTCGAGCTGTTGTAGTCAGAGTCATCCTCCGAGTCGTGGGACTGCTTTGAATGGCACCTTGACCGGTCGCTGTAATCGCTGTAGCTATCATCCGAGTAACTTCTCCGACGGCTGTACCGGCTGTGGTCCGAGGAGGCGTCAGAGCTGGTCGAATAGGACCTGTGAGAGGAGTGCCTCCGCCCCGACCGGGAGCGGCTCCTGGAGTGGTCGCTGCCAGAGTCATAGTCATCGCTGTACTGCGACGGGGATTTCTGCTGGCAGTGCTTCCTGTGAGAGCCCTCGTCACTGTCGTAGTCCCCGCTGCTCTGCCGGCTCCTGCGGCTGGTCCTGCCCAGGGAAGGAGCCAAACACCGTCTCCTCAAAGCAGATAACTGCTGCAGGTCAGCCTTGTGTTTTTTGCTGCCGTGCTCTTGGCAGGAGTTACCACCATCCTCTTTTTTGCCGCTGCTTCCCTCTTCAGCAGACAGAGACTTCCTCTGGGACTCCAGAGAGAACCGCTTTTTCTTCTGGAAATGGCTACAATCTTCAGACAGTTCAGTTTTCAGCACTCGTTCCGACTGAGTAGAAAGAGAGGATTTGCCTTTTCTGTGTCTGTGTCTTTTCCGTTTCTTGGGTTTCTCTTCCCCCGGGTCAGTTTTTCGGCCCTTCTCATCAGCTTCCTCCTTGTGTTTACGTTTGTGTTTGCTGGACTTTTTGTGCTTCTTTTTCTTTTTGTGTTTATGGGATCTCCCAGATTTACTCTTACTGGTTATGCTTTTACTACTGTCCTCTCCCTCTCCCTTACTAATGCTTGTCAAACTGGACTCCTGCTTGTTCTGGGAGCCACAGGTGGACAGAGATTTGTTTTCCATTTTTAGAGCAGAACTGTTAGCTACACTTTCTGCCTCCTTGGGTTCGCTTAGCTCACCGGATTCTGTGCTCGGAACGTTTTCTTTACAAAGACCCCCTGGATCCTTAGATTTCTCTGCCCCTTTACCTTTAGCATCTTTGTTGCGAGAGAGCTTGAAATCAAAATACAGGGGGTTACAACTGTATGAAACAGATGGTTCTGCTCTGGTAAATATGAGAAGCTCTGAAGGCCACTGGAGAGTTGTGCTCTCATCTTTACTCAGAACGGGAAAAAAGGGTCCTGTTGGATGCTTTGGTCCTTCAGTGACATCTTTACAGCCTGGGACAGGCTGAGCGACTTCTTTAGTAGTGTCTGGCTCGGGGAGATTGCTCTCTGTAAAATGCTTGCTCTCCTGAATACTCGCATTTTCTGAGACTTCTTTTAGTTCTGTTTTGCTCTGCTGAGCTACAGTTTCAGTAGTGCTCTGCTCCTTCTGCTGCCCCGTGCTCTCAGCAGCCTTCTCTGTGTGCTTGCCGGGTTTGGGTTTTGGAGAACTACCCTTTTTAACTTCATGCGTGGTTTTTTTGTTCACATTTTCAGCTTCCATTTGTTCAGTAGACTTCATGAAAAGCAGGAATTGAAAATTAGGCTTTACTTTACAATGGGCTGGGGGAATATAGTGGTAGTATTCTGGTTCAACGGCCATTGGTCCATCTTCTCGTCTCATCTTTTTTAGTTTAGATAACGTAGTGGCTAGAGACCCATTATCTTTGTCATGTTGGTCATCTTCCTCCGCCTTGCCATCAGAATTATTTGTGCTTTCGCCCTCGCCAGATTTCTGCAGGCTCCCTGCATCTGAGGATCCTCTCTCATCACCTTTTGCTCCATCTGCAGAACTCGATTCTTCCACATGGTCCTTGAAAACAGAAGCTATGGTCTCAAGCTTTACCGGAGTCTTCTTGGCAAATGAAAACGACACACCTATCTTCTGCAGTGGAGTTCCCAAAGTACTTTTAATGCCAAAGCTGATTGCTTGCGCTGTCTGGATGGGCATTTGGCTTGGCGTAACAGTGCCACCGACTTGTCCAGTGTTTAGGAAACCTCTGTCCATAGTCATCTCTGTAGCTTGGCCAGAAGTTGTCTGGATGAAAGAACTGCTGTTGGCTGCAGAATCATCATCATCTCCAGCTTCCTCATCCACAGCCACCGTGGTGGTTCTGAACATGGGTCCGCTTCCAGGAGCGCTGTATGAACAAGTTAAAATAGAGAAAACAGCTGACTGCCATTTGTATACCTCTGCAGTTGGTTTCAAGCCTGATCTAAAACATCTTTTACACATTTCAAGTACTCTTGTATCCAGAAATATGCAGTAAAATAGCATTATACAGCCATTTGAATTTTTTAGTAGTATAAAATAATGGAAGAAAACCTATTGCTGGATAAAGCAATTTGGGGATGCTCTGGACTACCATTTTAGTGAATTCACTCCTACCAAAACCACAGCATGAGGCCAAACTCAAGCATGAAGCTTTGCCCTTAAAACTTGCACAGAATTACAGGAGGAAGAATGCCAGTGCAGCAAAGGGCCGCAGTCCCACAGAAGACTCCCGTACACAAGCTCCAAGGGTGCTCAGGGATCACCCGTACTCACCATTCAGGCTGTCTCCTCTGTTCAGCCAGTTCATGTAGACGCCGGAGGGCTTTCTCCTGCTTCCTTTCATCTTTACGTGATCTTGAAGAGACATTGCGAGCAAATTCCCTTTGCTTGAGATCTTTCAACCTCTGAGGCAAAAGAAAGCAGGAACAGATTAGATAAAATCGGTTTGTGGTTAAGTGTCCAAAAGCGTCTCTTTGCTGTAGCACTGGAAAGTACGCTGTAAAGCCCCTCCCCGGTAACATTTATTGAGCTAGGATGGAGCAACAGCATCTTAGCTCAACAAACCAAATGGAGCACATTGCCATCCTCCCAGTAGCTAAATGAAAAGACAACTGTTGATCACTTTTGGCTATGACTTCAAGTCTGTGTATATGCATTTCCAATCAACATTACTGGTTTTCTTTAGCATGTACAATAAAGCTGATTTCAAAGCAACAAGCAAATTCTGGAAGGGAAAAAAAAAAGACTGTTTACTTTGCTGCTCTTGCAGGGTGCAAATGTACTTGACAAACAGTGCATGACAGAAGTCTTAATAGCATGGGCCAACGAACAGAAAGGGATTAGCTGGTGCAAGAGAGTTACCCAGGAATTGTATCTTACAAAAGCAATGTACAAATTACATTGGAGAAGGTGCCAAAAATCCCATGCAGATGATTCCGGTAAGCAAATAAATAATACAACATACACCACAAACAGTTACTTGCTTTCCTGACAGTAGTTCTGAGACGGTCTCTCAAAAAACAAAATGCTCTAAAATACAGTAGGGGTTTTGGGGGTTTAACATTTTAGAGGGCAGAAACACTAAGTTCCCCAGAAATCTTACCATGTGAGGAAGCAAACCCAAACCCAAGGAATTTCAAACATCATAACGTCACTGAGGAAATCTAGATATCCAATTCTAATAGAAATCAAGCATCTGAGACTTCAGAAAATTTTTGCAAGTCCTTGTCTCAAAGCACTAGGAAAAGAGGTTGCTGTTTTTCCTTTGAATACATGTGAAAATTCACAAGGCATTTTTTTTAGAGTGCTATGCAGAATTTTAAGTAACAGAAAGCAGCAAAGACCTCTACCATCCTAAGGGATTCATTCTTCTTTTTTTGGTGCACAATTTGAAACCCTTTCAAAAGGCCCAATTCCAGAAAGCATCATGTACCCAAGCTTTTTCAAAAGTTTCATGTTTTCAGGCATTTCAGGAAGGGCCTGAAAGACTAACGGTACTCAACGCAGTAGTCACATTAGAAAAATCCTCGTACAAGAGGTACAAACCATTGGTGAATTCTAAATATACCTTCTGGCTGGCTGACTCTGCCTCTTTAATGGAGCAGCGTCAGACTGGTACTCACAGCAACAGTGGATCTGAAAACTAACCCGAAGTTCAAATTAGAGGAATTAAGTTGGCCCAATGTAAAGAGAACATTGCTTTGTGAAAAAGGGGAAGATTTGACAAGACAGAGGATTCTCGTACCTAATCGTATTTACTAAATGTGGTTGAGCGTTACCAAGATCAGAGGGAAGGACACACGAAAAAAAAAGTACAGCTATAGACACTAGTAGAAAGAAACTCACTCTTGTGATCTGGACTCCAAAATTAGAAGGGTTTGCTTTCAAAACATCAGCTGAAAACGTCACATCACAAAGAAAAAAAGAAAGTAAAAATATAACAAGAGTGGAAGAGAGGGGGAAAAAAAAAAAGGCAAGCATTACTACACAGGCTCTCGGTGTGTCTGCGAGCTATTCTACGGAGAAGGAGCTGAGCCAGCGAAGCTACGGGACCGAGCTTAGGGAGTCTGGAGCAAAAGGGGGGAACGCACATACACATACACGCACAGACACAGCAATGATCCCACCTGGAATAACAGAGCTACTTTCACCAGGACAAGTAAAGGGCTCAAGGGTTTTGTGGTGTATGTTAAATGTTGAATAGTAAATTTTTTTCCAAGAGGAAGGGAAAAAAATGGACTAAGCAATGTTATCAGCTTTTTCATGCTGATTTAAAAAGCGTATCTAAAATGCTCCAGGAAGTTAAAGTCACCAACAGCTGACAAAACTATTTAACTGGGGTGTGATGCCAAGTCTCTAGATCACTCATCCATTTGGAAAAAAATATGACTCAGCTATTTACAACAGAAATGAACTGTGACCTTTTACTTTCAAGAGGAAGGTGCAATGGTGCACTCAGACCCACCTCCACCCCCCCAGACATGGCCTTAAACATCTCCCCGTGAAATAAAACGGGCTCAAGTCAGTGAATAACGATGCAGCTGCCCACAATGCAATCCCGCCTTCGTTACAACAGACAGTTTCAATGAAAACAGAATTAAATGCCCATTTCCTTAAATGCTGATCTTTGCATGTCTCTGCTCCCCCAAACCTCCCGCTCTCAACACTGATAAATTACAAGTGATGAAGCGAATGAACTACCCCGATGCACTGCAACTCCAGAATATGCAATACATGGCAACACCTAGCTACACTGATATCTGTGCCTTTTAAGATGATAACTCACTAACCATGGTTTCAAGACTGCTGAGAATTTATTACTCCCCAAATTGGGGAAAAGTTGGTCTGATTTTACAGAGCTGACTTTACAAAGGACTAAAAGATCTCAAGGCTGAGTTTCTTTTTGTCCCGCAGGGGCCAGAAGGAAAAAGGGTCTTGCTGGGTAAGTATAGGATAGAAAAGCTCCACAACTGCACCACGCCATCTCCTTGGGAATGTAAAATACGGAAGATAACGTAGCTCAGCATCTTTGACTGACCTAAAATGATGCACCTACCATCAGCAATTTCTCAAGTTTGCAAGGAGCCAGGTTCCAAGAAACCTGGCTGGACTGCATTATCTTACATAAATGGAACCTGGGGCAGGGGAAGGACCAGAAGACCAGACTGCTCATCTGTAAAAACAAATCACTACAGGAATAGACGCAGAAGGCTACGTTCGCAGGCAGCTGATTAGCACTGAACTTTTAAAATAGCCAGAACTTCAAAATATCCTGTACAAGTAACTGTTACCTCACTCGTTGTTTCAAGGGCATAATTGAATCCAGTCATTTACCCACGCAAAGAACAGTGGATAACCAGTTAACTGCAGCTATGCCTACCCTCCTCCCCCAAACCTAACTGGGGTGAAGCAAATAAAAGCCTGAAGTACAATTTCACAGTAGTAAAAGGAGTATATCGAAGCAGTGAAATGCTTTTCAGCATACTCCAGGTCTCAGCCTTCCCAGAAAGCTATTTGAACTAAATTGATATTTAAGCTAGGCTTACACTAAAGAAATTTCCATCTAATCCTTAGCCAAGCATTCATTATTCTAATCCCCCAAAATCTCTAAATTACTTTTTGGACCGCACCATATGTGTGGGTGTTCACAGAGGCTGGACAGCCACAGGAGGCGAGTCGCACAGCTGCCCCTTCCCCCCAACACAGCAAAGAAATTTAAACAAGAATTTAACACAGCCACTCAATCATCCGCAGGGAGCTTCTCCCCACCAACTAAGGAAAAGGAGCCCTGGGAACCCATCTTCTTGGGGTGAAACCAGCCTTTTTAAGTCTTCCCACGGTGCTCAGCAAGACTATAATTTCTTCAACAGGATCAGAGCCACCAACCCGTATTAAATCAAACATATAGCTTCATGCTACTATAGGATTTAAAAATTAGGAAGCAATTTTTCTTCATAGGCAGTGTGTTTTCTGAGGAAGCAGGAGGTTTATCTAGAGCAGCAACGTATTTACAAACTATAGGATGATAGTGACCGTGAAGCCAAGAAATACTATTCTGCTGGTTTATTACTTCAGCTGTAAGAAGGGCCACATCAGTAAGCCCAGTGACCAGCAAATAAGGACATAAATCACTAGCATTTAAATAAAGTTTATCTGAATTTCTGCAGGCTAGAAGCAGTACTTCACTAGCTCAAACCTTCCTTCAGCTTGGTATTGTCTTTTATTAATAGCTGTCACCCACCTCAGCTTTGAAACAAAGAACAGTATTTTAAGTTTTCAGCTTTGTTTCTAACAAAATTACTAAGAAGTCTCTAAATTTCAATGGGAGAGCAAATCGAGCTCTTAAAGAACAGGTTTGCTATAAAATCTGCAGCTACCTCAGTACTCCAGCACAAAGAGGCTACAGTAATGGATTATCTCCCGATCACTGCATAGCTCAGGAGGGGCCAAACTGGCATACACCACCATTACCGTACAGTTCTCTTCCAATCAGCTTAAATAAGCTGCACTCCAGCATCATTTAAAAGCTCTAGAGATAGCCCATCACAGACACGTGAAGGTGGTTAAATAAAAGAGGGACGATCAGGATTCAGAAACTGTCTTAACAGGAAAAAACTCAGCACACGCTGTGGCAATTGTGCATGAGATTTTGCTGGTGAGATAGTATCGAGGCAAGACTTCCCCAGTACCGAACTGGAGTGCATTGCTTTTCAGGTTCAGGACCAGCGGTAAACGGATTTTCTCAATTTAAGTTGACAAAGCCATGCAATTTTGCTGAACTGAGGCCCATTCGAGAGGCATTCTTTGCCTAAAATTGCAGAGCAGAAAGAGATCATGTTACTCTCGGAATAAGAAAAAAGGCACTCTGCTACACTGCTTTACTAGACCTGAAGATCTAAGACTTTCACAACAAACATTCAGGAGAGAGGGAGACTGGATCCACGTACAGTGAGATTCTGCGTTGGCTTGAGACAGGAGGCAGCTCATGTAACAGCACAATCCCATCAGAGCCTACTCCTCCCCTGCTACTGTTCTCAAGTCTCTCTGCCAATCCCTATTAAATAAAATAATAACGTACTTTTCATTACATGCCAGCAGATTTCTGGCTTTCTGAACTTTTGACATATGCTCGATTCTTTGCCACAAAAGCTTCTGGGAGTGAACTACACCATTAGCTAAATATGAGCTCAAAGGATGGCAACCTTTATAATTTTACATAAGCGAGAACACAAGCCCTGCTTATTTTTGGTAATCAACATTCTTTGCATGCTCGTAAATGAAGTGAAAAGAGCAGAGGGGAAATGGCATGCAACTGCAGTTTTATTTCATCTTAATTTCTTTCCTGACACCTCATTTTCAACTTAGGAAAATATACCACGCGTTAATGCAATACGGATAACCCAACAACACAAGTCTGCCTGCCCTTCAGGAGGCTAGCATCGCTTGTAATCACAGTGTCTAGGCCTTGCACGCTGAAGACTTACTTTATTGAACACTATGTATAGGTGCTCGTCTCCAAATGTGTTTGCCATCAGCAAATGAGCAGCTGAACAGCTAAAACTGGGTTAAGAAAGATACCGTGGTTTTTTTGAGGGTATAGCATTTCTAGAGTAGAAAAGCTTCCCATGTAACACCAAGCATCTTGAAGATTCTCTCTTAGTCTTCTACGTTCAAGCTGTGCTTGAAGATACAAGTTTTTGGAAAGCACAAGTCCAATTCTCCCCAAACCAGAAAGTTCAGGGTTTGGATTTAGAGTGCTCATCAACCACAGCAGTGACTGAGTGACTGTGTTGATAATTTTATTGTGCCTTAACAGATCCCTCCCCCTCGGCATCAGAAGCAAAGATCCAGATAATTAGGGCATGAAGATAACTGCAGATCTATAGTTTCAGTTCTTAGTTCCACCCTCTCTCCCAAAGAACTTCTTTATGGAAATACATTCCCTTTGTCCTTTTACAAAGAGAACCTATGCAGAATTAGTCATCTACACCTCCAAAACGCCACACATCTAGAAATAAATAAAATGAAAGCTACATAAAAGACTGCATTTCAATACTGGTTAGTGTTCTCACAGTTAACCTGGCAAAAGTTCACACAGTAACATGTTTGTTTTTCGCATTGAATTCAGAAGGTGAATGTTTTTGTTCTGTTGGGTCAGTGACTCAGTAAATAGCTCAACCCTTCATCAGGCATACTAGCAGGAAAGAGGTGACCGTATACGAGATTCTGTAAGTAAGTTCTTGGACGAAGGGGAAAAAAAAAAACCCAAACAGTAAAAGCTGACTGTGAATGCTACATTACTTACATGTAAGATAATTCCAACTGTAACAATTTTTGGAGGCTGCTCTAAGTGATACAATACAGATTAGGTTTATTTGATATGAATACACAAACTGGGCACAACCCCAGGTAAGGTGACCCACATTCATCTTCATGCAAATCTAACATGAAGTATTCTATCTTGATGTCAAAACCCAAAACTGAATTAAGGGCCCACTCTTATATAATGCCCTAAGGATACCTTCCTACTAAGTCCAGAGTATTCTAGGACTGTGGGAGCTCTCAAGCATCTGCACATCACATATCTGCAGGAAAGCAGCACGAAAATACACTGGATCCATCTTCACTACCCAAGTTCCTCGGTAGCTGCAGAAGAAGTTTTCTTTCAACATTTGCCTCCTTTTGCATTTGTCTGTTAATTATTATTACTCTGTTGACAGTCAGGACTGTGCAACATCAGAGGTGGGGGCCCTTCATAAGCTACCAGTCCTTCTAGTTGCCAGGCTCAAGATCTTACAGCTAAAAAAAAAAACCCATTAAAGATATCAGTAGCTTTCCAGGGAACAAAAAACTATGACATCTATGGTTACAGCCTTTTTCAGTTGCTCACTGAAGGATCTTTAAGGGAACCGAGTTTATTTTTCCTCTTACAGTGCCATCTGTATGAACACAAGTTGCTTTTAGTCCTCTGGCTTCCCCTGAGAGGGACTGACCATTTGGTGAACAGATAGGGTTACTGTTCTTTGAAACATCTGTACTTCTCATTTCAAGTATCAACCTAATTAAAAAAAAAATCTAGAGAACAACATTGCACACCTCCAACAAGATGTTTAAAATACAATGACTTAAACAGGCCAATGGTTTGTGATAATAAATTGAAGATTATTTTCCCAGTTAAGGTAATCTAGAAATACTGCTTTTTGGATAGAAACTTGGGTGTTGAGGTCGATTCAGACACATCCGAATGCTCTATGAAACCAGTGTAGTCAGGAAATAGTAATAATAAAACCTCCCCTTTAATTGTTTGGTGTTGACAAGTTGGTGGGTCCAAAATTTATCCGGTAGGGATCAATACACTTACCTATTGTCCCTGTTTCGCAATAATCCTGAGTTCCTTCCTGGAATACAAGACAGTGTCTTTATAACTCGGGAGCGGAAAGGGATCTGAGGATGGAACATCTATTCACAGGGACAGCCTAATGCTCACTGAGCCACAGAAGGAATAAGCAAACACTTCAATGTCGTGGGTATGTGTAACTAAAAATACTTAAAAGCAAAAATGATCCCATGGAAATCTGCTCAACAAGCGAAGAAAAAGGCAAAAATGAAGCACTGTTGCCTCAAGAATTACTGCTGAGAAGACAAAACATTGCAGATAATATATACCAAGCCGGTTTGCTGTAATTATCTAGGGTACCATAATGTCTCATCTTTCCAAGAAAGCCTACTGATTAGCCTACTTTTAAGAATACTTTATGTTTTTCCTCAAAACAATTGTTACCCTCTATGTAACCTTGCCTTCTTGTCCAAAGAGGCAAAATATGAAACATCAACGTGCAACGTATTATGAAAAGCACAGCATTATTTTTTTTTTATAACTACCTCAGCATTTAGAATAGACTGTTAGAAATAAGCCTATCTTGAGCGGTAATGAACAACAGAAGTGAGATAGTGTTACATATGCAAATTTACCTTCATTATTTCTAGGTAGTTTCAAGTTCACTTACTGAACACTGACCCAACAGGGTGACACACATTTCTGCAAGACATAAAGCTGGACAAGCAATTTTTTCCTTAAGCAAAGCATGATTGCTTCTTTGTTTAAATCTCTGTGTAACTAGAAACTAATGCTGGGTGATGTAGCGAGAGTTTGAAGGCTCATTTTCTCCAAAGCCTGCCTGAAGTTACTGCAATGGATGCAAATTATCCAAGAACATCAATTCCTTTAAAAATGATCAGCAGTACCAAGCAACCCCCAAATTCTTTCTACCGATGAGAAGATTACGCCACCCTGTGTGTTCCCAAGACATTTTTCTTTCAGGTCCCTCTTCTTGCGCCCCTACTGATGACTCCTTTTATACCAATGAGGGGTGGTTGCTTTCCACAGGTTTGTTTCTTCCACAGCATCTCTAGATGCTAGGAAAACCCTCAGCCTTGCCAACCTCATGTCAGTCCCCCTATTAATCGCCCAAGGCTTTTAAACAGGAGTTGACATAATCATACTGCATCACCACGCTGTAAGAATGTGACACAAACAGGTCCTTCCACCTGGATTACAAACAGATGCATGTAATTGCACTCAAGTTTCAACCACGTTGATAGAAAACTTTAGATGAAGTACACCGCTATCGGGTATCACGACTGTGCCACCAGCTCGGTCAAAGCAGCCCATTTTCCCAATACAAAGTAAATGAATGAATTTCTGCTCTTAACTCTATTAAACCACAATTCACCACAGTACTCAAATAGAAACTGCCCTGCCATGAGATTTCCTGTCGAAACTCCCTTAGTGAATTTACTTTGAACTACCACATCCTATACTTAATACACAAAAAAATCATACTCTGTAATGCCGTATTCTTGTTTTTACGCTGTTGCTTCACTGCTATTTTGCAAGATCTAGTACTCTACAGCACATCCTGCAGAAGTTACCAGCATTTTAATGATTGTGTTGTTAGAATTTATGGCTAGGAATATCAAAAAACCTCCTTTGAGCAATTTCATCCCTAGATGAGCACAACACTGCTATCTGCCGTACATTTACATCTCATTTAGCAGCTTCAAATGGAATAGATCAGGCTAACACATGAACTTTTATTATTTACTGTGCAGTATGAAGTATCATGTAGATACTACAGTACGTCCCTATCTTGGGACCAAAGCCAGTTCCACAGAGATTCTGAATCCACCTTCTCCTGAGGGTTACAGAATTTGGAAAGTGCTCCTTTTTTACCATTCCTTTGACACAGCCCATTATTTCCTAGTCCGTTTTCAGTAACTTGACAGAACGCAGACTAAGGTATTAAAATGCACACACATGGCACATCAGTCTCCAAAGTTGTACTATGTTAAAAGCTGATGCAAACTAGGAGCCACCCATATCCATCCGTACTCTTCCCAGTTTAGCAGCAGCCCATTCCTGCCCGTGGGTCATTCAAAACTGGGCTCCTTGATGCCAACAGTGAGTTGGGTTTTTTGTTTGTTGTTTTGGGGTTTTTTTAAATGTATGGTGGGCATAAGAATCTTAACCAGTGACATAAAACATCTATCCCTGGGGCTATAAGGAAAACAGATACACTGGGGAAACTCAAAATACTAACCACAAACAAGACCGCTGCAATGAATATAAAATTGATGAACTGCGCTATCAACACTTGTTTACCTGCTTGTGAGCGTGATCGTAAGAGTTTATGTGGTTGTCAAACTCTTGATGCTTTTGATACTGCTTGTCACAGAGTTCACAGTAGAAGTTTGCTCTGAGGTCTTCCAAAGCCTTGGCAATTGCCTTTTCTTTATCAACATAATCCTGCAAAATTAACAAAAAATGCTTCTGTTAAACTTCCTGTAAAACAAACTGGAAGATGATGAACTAGTCCTTTAGGGGAAAATAGTCCTTAAGAAACCTTAGTGTACACCAATGATTATACTTATTAAGCTGACCAGTCTTTGCAAATTAAAAGGTACGAAGGATAATTTTGCAATACTACCAACCTAGCCTTGACCCAGTTTCCTAACATAGAACATAATTTTGTCATTAGCACAGGTATCAGTAAAAAGAGACTGCTTAAAAAAAAAATCTAGTGCTGGTGGCAGGAAGGCAGTTGCGGCTGCAAGAGGAGAGCCTGCCGGATTGTCTGAGATAAAAAAAGAGAGGTTCAAAGCCTCAAGCCAACACATAAACAAACTGGCAGCTGCCTGCTCGTGTAAGATGCGCAAAATACGCATCAAACCGAGGAAGATCACTGCTTTTGGAACAGAATCTTGGAACTTTAAATGCTGATACTTCCTCCATTTTGAGTGCTAACAGATGTCTGCTTGATCGCAGTTTGTCTGCAATTCAATAGGGAGGAACACAGATCCGCGGCTGGGAAAGCACAGTTCAGAAACCGCTGAGCCTATTTCACTTCAGTGTAATTTTTTCAGTTAGTGAAATCTTCCCAGGAGCAGTGCTGTCCATTAAGCTGAGCTCAAACACAATGATTACACTGGGCGTGGGTACAGGGAGTTGCCATTTAATAAAAGAGGGGGAGGGAGATCACCTTAGAGGTTGCAGACAGTATTTTTTTCTGATGTAATTCAACATTTGTATAGGTGCAAAACCAAACCTCCAAGCAAAGGTGAAGTGTCTAAATTGGCAGCGGTCATGTCCTCCCCTCTTTTGCTATAAGGAAAAGTAGCAGCTTTTGGATTGGCAGTGGCAAAAAGCTCTGGGACTCCGTGGAAATCCCAGTCCCTCAAGTGGCTGTAATGGCTTGAAGTCCCAGTGCCTGGAAGTGAGCCTGCGCGGCTCGCCGCAGCCGATGCAGACCTGGGGGGGCTCAGCACCCGGGGGGAGCTCTGAAACACATCTGATGCTGAAACACACACTCATCTCAGGGCTAAGCAACTTCTTCCTCTAGCCAGGTCGTTTCAATTACAATCCCACCAGCAAAATTAATAAAACATCGCCACTCTTTACAAGCAAGCTGGGGAAGGTTTACTTCAACAAGACGGAAGCGCTGACACATACTAAAAAAAAAGCTACAAATGCTGTATTACAAAGTACGCTGTACTAATATCAGCATACCCCATATAGCTATTTACCATATGCATTTCAACTGGAATAAAGAGAAATTATATAAGAAAAATAACCTAACATTTGAGGAAAAAAAAACTCTTAAGAGTTTAAGAGTTTCTGTCTTCAATACAAACTTCTTATGGGAAATTTCCTTGCATTAGCAAGAGGAGCTAGCAAACATTTAAAAAAAGATATACTATGAAAGCTTTTTTCTTTTTATTTAAGATCTTGTTCAAGGCAACATGGTTTATCTCCCAGTTACCACATCAAAATTACATTAAAATAATATTGCTGAGCATGTTTTCTATAATGCAAAATTCATGTAAAAAATTCCAACACCTGGGGGGGAATCTGAAAAATTCTGTTGCTAAAAGTTTTTTTTTTTCCTCAATTTAAAGCACTGTTTACCTTCTACATTAAAAAAAAAAAAATCTATTTCAAGTTCCTGCTTCTACCTATTACCAGAGGCCCTTGGAAGGGGGGGGGGGGGGATGCAACAAAA